ACTGTCTTTGATACCTCGAATCATTCATAATTAAAGATTACAACTTCCTGTCTTCTTTTACCATGTGTCTTGTGCGTGTAAAGTGCTTCCTTGTGATTGATAAATACCATCTGTCCTAAATAATTACACGTTGTTTGAAATCAGTTTTTTATTATTATAATTGAATTTAAATAATTTTTATTTTTACCATAGAAGCAACGTTAGAGTCATCATACCTACCAAGAGGATGATTGATCAAGTGGTAGTAAAATAAAAAAACTTATGATGTTAATTTCTCCATGTTTCGGTATATATATATATATATATATATATAGATGTGATGGGATTCTCTAGTTATGGTGGGTGTGAGAGATACAATTTCTTATGGGATTATTATATATGTATTTGTGCATCTTTTTGTACGGAGAAAAAAAGCGAAGATGATTTTTTTTTTTTTTTTTGGAAAAAAGGGAAGATGATTTTTTTTTTTTTTTGGCAAAAGAGTAGGAGCAAAGGAAGGGGTGTGTAATTTTTTAGTTCCAGACTCCTGAGCCCCACGTCCAGAGAGACAGAGTGCTGCCTAGCTAGGAGGAACTCTTGGGGTACTGGTAGCAATAGGCAAGGTGATTATCACAAGGCAAGACTACTCTACTAGTTTATTTAAACCTAGTTGAAGTGGTAGAGAATTCATAGTTGAAGATGGTAAGTACTTACAGTAATGGCATTCACATATAAATTATCATTATATATATATATATATAGCAATCATGCTAACATGGCAACTTGATCAAGCCACTCGTTTATGTCATTCTCGCGGAATTGGTTATATTGATAGGCTTCTATCATGGCCGGCCGGACGGTACCACTAGCAATGTGACCTTAATGGAAGCTCCTCTGAGAATTTGTTGAGACAATTTTGTGCGAAAAAGAGAATATTTTTGCTTATTAACATGTTTTTCTATAAATATTTGTGAAATAATATGTGGCATTTATAACTTTTCGCTATTAAAAATAGTAACATAAAACAATAAATGGGTTGCATAATAGAAAAAATAAAAGAGGTGAAAGGAAATAAAACAATTAAAAATATATTGAAACTCTAATTATATTATCCCAAGCATGAATTAGATCTCAACAAAATAAATTAAATGATAATAAAAAAATCATCAATAATAATCCAAGATATATTTATTATTAAAAATAAATAAATTACTCATTGTTTTTAATAACAAATATAACACACTCGAATTATTATTAAAAAAAAACCACCGACGTTTTAGCCAAGAAATATCATAAGAAAAATGTGATTGAGATGAACAGTATGTGAGTTTCATTCTTCTTTTGTACTTATCTTCTTCATTTTTATCGAGATTCAGTTGGTCTTGAGTTCGGTACAAGATCGAAATGATGCATTCCATTCTATTGGCAGCGGCATCAATGAATCTGAGGGATTCATTGTGATTTAAAGTGCATGGGATTCAAATTTAGAAACCATATATACATTTATTTTTTCTAAGTTTATCAATATTGAGCTGCAAGGTTAATGATTCTAATTATACTGAAATAATTAAATTAAATTTAAGGAACGTTAGGGTTTAAATTTATAACCGATGTTAAGTTAGAAAGACATCTTAATTAAAAAATAAATAAAAGATTAATTGAGGGAATTAGCTCCACAATGCATTAATTATACTAAAACTTCCAAAAATAAGACGAAGATATAACACTAATACTTTGTAGGCTAAAAGACTTCTGGAAACCGACTGAGAATCTTAGTGCTGAAAAGAAAGGATCATCATGCTATTAGCAAGGGTTGGGGTTGCTTGAGCCAACACAAAATAGTGTGAGCTTCTAGAGAGGATTGATATGATAATGACTTGTCTTCTATCACAACCAAAGTTGTTTCTCTTTACACTTTTTCCCTATATAAATAAATATAGCAGACATAGATGATTGTTGTTCAGTTTATTCCTTTTGTCCCTTTCTTGCTTCTGTGTTCTTGTCAATTATATATTCGTTTAATTCTTTGTCTCTATGTACACTACTAATCTTTTGTTCTTTGCTCGATACATACTTTAATTTTATTTGAAGGAGGGATCAGTTAACGGCTAATTAAAAAGAATTGGATCCATGCAGTTTAAGGTTTCTGATTGAAGTTCTGCTATTGTTATTAACTTTTTTTAAGAGATAATATATCTATATACTAATTGGTTACTTGCGCCATATGTTTACATTACGAGTCGAATCAAATTCTTATGATAAGTATATAATAAATTTCAATTACAATAAAAGTATATATTGAGTATATTATGTTAAGCTTATTCATATGCCCATTTTTAATGCTAAACAAAGAAGAAAAAGACTTGGGGCAATGTTCCTCTTTTACGGTGCTGAGCAATTTCTTTTTTTGCCTTGTGAATTTCCCACCTGTTTTCTTTGTTTCAAAGCTGGAGAACATCTTGCTCCTGTGTTTAAAAATGAAGGAAAGCCATGGAAGAGCTCTTAAATCAACTGTATATTGAAGTTTTATTGATGGGTTCAGAAAACCATTAGGTAAACGAAATTCTGAAATTCCCCACAAGATTCCATAGGATAGCAGAGTAAAAGCCCTTCCTCGAGACCTGCCATTAACCATTGCAAAACAACCTGATCCACTACTGTTACAGGCATGCACCAGCTAATCCCAAGCCATTTCATAAAACGCTGCCAAAGCTTCAAGGAACCATGATAGTGAAGAAATAAGTGCAGTGCATGCTCGGTCTCAACATCGCAGAATGGACACAAAGCTTGGCTTGAACTGATTAAATGCCCTTGTAAGAAAAACCCTTGTACAGACTCTATCTTGCAGAAGTAACCATAAGAACATTTCAATCCTAGGAGGAGCAAGACCTTTCCATAATAGTGGAGTGAAAGAGAAAGTGCATGGGAAATCGATGTTGTCAATAATGGTGCTGCAAGATTTATCCGTGTTGTCTTGTCTATTCGGCTCCCATTGTTTTAAATCAACTCTACTTGAACTCAATCTGACCCCATCTATTAATGGAAGAAGTATTTGATCTGTAATGTGTCCCGTTGACAATATATTGTATTTGCCATTCCAGCCATAAAATCATCATCAAAGTTCATCCCTACCAGAGAGCTTTTATAGAAATTAATTCACAGAACTGATCCAGTTCAAACAAGTTCATCCCTAACAGAGAGCTTTTATAGACATTAATTCACAGAACTGATCCGGTTCAAACCACCTTCGAATCCTCTATTTCAAATTTCACGTGAAGATTCTGTATGTGAAGGATTGTGGCAATTTGATGATTAGGAAAGAAAGAAGTTGCTGATTCGATGCATATAGCTCAATTTAAGACTATCCATTACGATTTATAACCCAAAAAACGAATGATAGAAAGAAATCTAGTGAAGAGGTAATGGAACAACAGGTTTTTCGCCTAATAGAAAGTCGCAGTGTAGCGAGAAAGGAGACATGCTTCAAGAATTTATACCAGAAGTTACCAGAACTAGATATGTTCATACTCTACTGCCAATTGGTTTATGGATGAATTCTTCTCTTTTTTTAACAATTAAATAATCTTCAAGCTAGTTTGATAGCATATCTCCAAACTAGTTTTGAATTAAGGAGAAATACTAGCATATCCTGGGGGAGAACCCAGCAAGTAGCAAGTCAAGGAGAAATACTCTGTGATGTGAATTTTCTTTTCATTTTATGAAAAACAAAATTCAATTACTCCATTAAAGAACATGCGGACAACAAGAAGATTACATCTTTTTTATGTTTTTTATCCTGAGAATGAACATACAAATGTCTGACCAGCATGGCTTGAGTTGAACCCGACTTGGAGGAAACAAATATTGCCCTGAAATCCAACCCTTGGAATCAAGTTCCAGCAAAAAGATAAAACCCCAGCATCCGTGGATTAAAGGAAGCTCCTCTGGAAGTTTCCTGATGAAAACCTGGACGACAAACCCTGAGCCATGTTGTCTGAATCTAATTTTATACTTTTCCTTCCAGCTTCCAGGTCCTTCTCGCGATCCCAAGGCTTCCATGGATGTTGCCCCGCCCACTCTTCCTTCTCTTTTTTCTGCTTGGATTTTTTCTTCGTGCGACTTGAAGCCTCTTCTTGGTGCTTTTGTACCAAAGATTTAGATCGTTTTGCTTTATTGTATTTATCCACCAAATCTGCATCTGCACTTGCCCGTTGCTTTTCCTCTTCAGTTGAAGCAAGTGCTGCGGCCTCATTGTATGCTTCCAGGTAACTGTCGTGCCACAAAAATGTATTAGGACACTATTTTAACTATAATAAATGAATGTTAACTATAACTAAATAAACAATAATCATACTTCATCTTCGCTTTCTGGGCTCTGTCTAAAGGGTTATCTGTCCAAACACTAGTATCACCACGTCCTTCTTTAGAGTTCTTGCTGAAGCTTCTAGATTGCGTGGGCATACCACCAGGCTGGGAAAACAAATTAGAGGTTATCATATAGTAATTTAAATTGGAGCTCTGGTGACTGGAGATTAAAATCCACAGTATCATTCTAGAACAGATTCTAGCCTAAATGTGAGGGTAAATTGT